AGAGCTCGACGACGACTTCCTTTCCGTTGATAGGCAATGAAAAGAAAAAGAAGAAGTAGAAAGAAAAATCGTAAAGAGAGCGAAAAAACGTGCCCGCTTCTCAACACCTCTCAGTTTTACTTTCCTCTCCACCCTCGATTCTTAACCCGTCTTCTGTCTCATTTGGTTTACCCTCTCCCCACCCAACCTAAACTGGAATTCCACGAATCGGATAAGACTTGATAAGCGAAGTTCTGAATGAAATATTATCTGGTTTGGATCTCTACGTGTGCACGTACGCGCACGCCAATCGTGTTTTTGCGTATTGTTGTTCTTGTCTCTCTTGCGTTTCGTTTCGATTATCTCTCTCTCTCTCTCTCTCTCTCTCTCTCTCTCTCTCTCTCTCTCTTTCTCTCTCACGGCTTTTGCATTAATTTCTAATCCGCGCGACGGCGTCCCCCGTATATCGGAACGTAGATGCTAAAGAGAATACCTATAAATATAGTTTATACGTATATATATATATAGAATATAATATAATATAATAATATAATATAATAATAATATAATAATATATATAATATAATATAATAATATAATAATATAATATATATGTTTATGTCATCACCGTACCTTTTACGCATCTTTTTTTTCTCTCTCTCTCTCTAATTTATACTTAACATAGAAAAAATATAGAATTTACTTTGCCTCGAACTTAAATATAATAAACCTCTCTCTCTTCCTCTCTCGAGCGTCGATTATAATATACAATATATATGTATATATAAATATACGATTTTTTTTTTTCATTCGTGTGTCTGTCGGTGCGAATGTCTGTGTATGCGTGGGTGTGTGTGTCACACTGTATGCGTGTCCTGGGTGAATAAGTTACATCGTGTTCACGCGCGTGTCTGTCCATCGGTGTTTGAGCTCGCGCATGATAGTTTTGTGTCATTTGTGTGTGAGTGCACACGATCACGGTAATGCCTCGTTGCTAGTCCACCTCCCTACTAGGCTATCGATATCCCCTCCCGTGTCAGGAGAACCTCTCGACGAACAGTTTCAGCGAAGGTCACTCGTAATTATAACCGCACGAGCTACTAGAGAGGCGTTACCGTGCTCTGTATATTACGTGTGCAGATGTGTCTGTCTCTGTGTGTGTGTGTGTGAGTATATGTAGGTGTGTTCGAGATGAGTGATGTTTCAATATAGTAACAAATAATATATTATATATATATATATTAATATACACTAGCGCGTAATCGTCGCGCGTCTCCATTCCTCTTTTAGCCCGCGTGCTCACGCGCGTCCGTGCGTGTCGAGAGATCGGCGTGTCGAATGAACGTGTGTGCATGTGTCGTACGTGCGTCTCTGCGATTGTGTGTGCTGTTTTTTCGTCTTGATTTACCAAGGTTGGCTTGTTCGACAAATGAACGCGCGTTTCGACAATAAGGAAGAATTTCTCCCTTTCTTCTTTCCCGAACGAAGAGAACGACACGGAAATAAGGGATGTGTGTTTACGTGTATATGTGCTTGTGTATGCATGATTGAGTTGGTTGGCTGCGGGTTTCATTGTTCGAGGGACGGTGAAAACGTTCGAAACGAAACACACACGGCGAACGAAGACACCCGAACGAAGTGTGATAAAAGAGAAATAATATTTAATTAAAAAAAAATAGATATTAAAAAATATATATAGAACGAAGGGAGGGGGGTGAGCCTGGCTGAGAGACTACCGAGACACCCGCTATACAGAGCTGCGGCTCGAACGATCGAAAAAATATTCTCTTTCCCCATCATCCCGTCAACACCGGATGACGTGTATAATATATAATATATATATATATATAAAAAATCGAACTCGAAATCGTAGTCAGCATAAATAAAATATAAAAAGAAAAAGAAGTGGGGGTAGCTCGTGGTTACCGTCGAACGTGAACGGTCCATCAAGCTACCGGCGTTTAACGGCCACTAGTATAGTTTCGTTCTTCGGCTAATTTCTTTCCCTTGAAATCCCCACGTAAACAAACGGGAGGTCCCCGTGCCCGTTCCGCTACTAGAGGGAGCCCGATTAAGGGTGGTTCCGTCCAATTTCATTTCCCTCTCGAAGCGGGTTCACAACACGCGCGAACGATCACGAGACGGTTATCACGCCGGTCGAGAACGAAAATTTGAGAAATCGTGAAAACGTAACACAGAAGAACACGTACACCGGCCACCCCCTCGTCCCTGTTGAGGGATGAAAATCGCTGACGTTTCTCGGAGTCATCGAGGTTCATCCGGATGGACGCGTCCGCGAGAAAGGACGAGAAAGGCGGAAGGGGGTGCGACCACCAGGAGGAGAAAAACGAGAGAGACCAAAGAAGAGAAAAAAAAAATGAAACACCGGTGTCGTCCTTCCTCCACCGACGTTGATCCATCGAGAGGTGGCTGGCGGGTACGGTGACACGTGTATAATCAGCCCGAGTAACGCATCGTCTATCGTAAATATATTAAATAATGCGAACAGAAATATAATAATAATTACCGACGTATTATTATCAAAATGAAAGCTTAAATACCCGCGGGTCGTCGATCCCTACGCGAAAGATACGTTTCTCGTCTTTTCTTTCTTTCTCTTAGTCGTTCTTTGAAAGAGCGAGTGTCGTTCACTCGATTATTTACTACGGTTTAAAGAATACAACCACTTCGCAAGTTCCGATCGGCGTATACGGCCGACGCAACTTCTCCCTCTTTCATTCCCCTGGTTCTCGTTCTTTCCAGCCGGTATCAGAGGAGGGGAGCCGGTTCACGCGTTCCCGCGATGCGCCGTCTTTTAAAACGATTTTGTTTCCCTTAACGCACACCGTCTTTTCATTTCGCAATATTTTTTCTCCTCCCTCTCTCACTCTCTCTCTCTCTCTTTCTCACTTTCTCTCTTTCACTTTTTCCATTTTATATATAATTCTTATAATAATTTCTTTTGTTCGCCGGCGTGTGCAGCTCGCCCCGACCACCCGTCGTCCCGTCGACGAAACGCGCGAATTAATATTATTATTATTTCAATTGCTATGTCGCTTATATAAAGGTAAGATAATACTCTAGTAGCGAGGGAGGCTGGGTGGGTACGGGCACGCCATTATTTTTTTTTTTTTCATTAATAATACTATCATCTAAGTAGTTTTCGCGGCGGATCGAGGGACACGTGACCTCTCGCCCTTTAGTTCTTTTACTCTTTTTCTTTCGTATTACGTAAACTGCATGTGTGTGTGTGTGTGTGTGTATGTGTGTGTTTTTGTTTGCATGTGTGTATGAACGATGAGAAGTATTGTACGCCGTTTGTTGTATGTATAAATGTTCCGTGTGAGTTGCGTCCTTGTGATTTAATTATTTCGGTATATCGTTCGCTGCGGTTCCTATCTGCGACAAGCTCGCAGGTCTCGGAAGTCCCCGTGTGTCGGTGCATCGATCGATAGATCCGACTCCCGGCTGATAATTCTCGTGTTCTTGTGGCGGGCAAGAATATTCAAAAGAACATTTAAACGTGTTTCCGGACAATGTTCGACACTTACTGTTCGCTGGTCCAATATACATAATCGATACAACAAACGAATTCATTCGACGAACATCGATAAAATAAAAACGACTCGAAAGAGCTTCACGATCGACGGATGCACGACCTTCCATTTGTCGCACTTTTCTTTCATCCGGTCTCAATTCGTTTGATTATCGTGAAACACGTCCCGCGACCACGTGACCACCCATCGACTCTAATTTTTTTTTGTTCAAGTTATTATAAGTCTTTTAACAATAAGTACGAAAGACGTTTCGCGTGAATTCGCTGCGATTCGTAAATGGTTTATTATTTCGTTACGCGAAAAAGGGAAGAACAGTCACACGGATTTTCGTTCGCAGCGCAGCATTTGAAATCTTTTTTCTATCACCTCGACTCGTGGCAGGCGATCAGCTGTTCGCGGGCCGCCATCTTCGATCCATTTCGGTCACGTGCTCGCGGAAACTCCCCGTCGTGTGTGGAGCGTGTAACGATCGAGCGATCGAGGAAACGAAATCGAGACGCCGAAAAACGGCATTGCGCGATCGTGAACGGCGGAACATTGTAATTTTCATTGATCGTTCAGCGCGATAAATGGGACGTGTCACGATGATTTGGTACGTACTTTTCTTCTTTTTTCTTTTCTAAATAAAAATATAGAGCTCGTAGAAATGTTCTTTCACCAGTGTTCGTTTTTTTTCTAAGCACCTTAGATATATATGTATATATATAGTGTTTCGTAATGTCGTATGGAGTACTGCGTGAATGAAAATTACAAATATCGCCGTTCACGAACGACTACGAATGAAACGTGAAAGAAGGACGTGATCGAGAAAAGCAGTCAAAAAATCACGAAAGTCTTCAACTCTTTTACGGATTGTCAATTGTATATAAAACGAACGTGTTCGCTAAATGATATATATGTATATATATTATCGTTGAGAGTTCGACAACGATTCAAATATTCGTCCTGTATCCTAGCTGCCTTCTTACACGAAAGGAACATCTAAAAGAAAAGAAAGAAACACACATACGAAAGTTACAGAACGAATGCAACCTGGTGAATTGGAATGTTACGAAACGAAGTTGCAATCAACAGAATGTCTCGTTAAACGGTCATTCAATCGCGGAACGCGAACTGGATCCACAGTCTCGGTGACGAACTTTATATGCTCTCGATATTGCGTGTCCATCGAGCGATCCGCGTTTCAAACGTTTTCTTCTTTTCCTATAGTTCGAAGGCAGTCGCGAACAGACAAAGGCGAACGAATATCCTTCTCTCACGTAACAATCGATACCTACTCGACCACTAGTCCCGTGGCGAGATTTCGATTTCGTTTCCCTCGTCACGAGAGAAGAACGCTTGCTTTCGATCGTATTTTTATTAGATCGAAGGACCTGCGAGCCCGATGTATGTATCTCTCTCTCTCTCTCTCTCTCTCTCTCTCTCTCTCTCTCTCTCTACGTATCGAGGGATAAAATATGAAAACGATGACAGGTGAATGAGCGAGTGTATGTTTCCTCTTTCTCTCTCTCTTTCACTCTCTCACACACACACTCTCTATTATATTCTCGTAGAACTTAAAAGCTGACTTCGTTGTATCCGGTCGGCGGGAACGACGCGACGAGGATCATCGGGGCATTCCCGGCGCGTAGAAGAGGTTTGTTCATTATTCTTTGTTTAATTTTCATATTTTCTTTGTTTAATTATTATTGGCAGCAGTGGAATTGAGACATTGTGCGCGTCCGATCCTCCCGTCGCCATTTATTCACGGGGTTAAACCGTAATGCGCGAGGGGGACTCAGGAGAGCCTATGCGTAAAAATTCGGCGTGGGCCGTTTTTACTTCAGCGCCGTCGTTCCTGGATGAGCCGGGGCAAAGTCGAACAAGTATTATATCAATGGTGTTGCGAGTATTGGTATTTAGCCGCTGTGTTTCGCGTGTGTGGTATGTGTGTGTGGTGTGTGTGTACCAGGTTGCCGCGGACGCAAAAAGAGAGGCGCCCTCCTCGTCGAGATCTCTCCGGGTCCTCTTGATTCGTGTAGTAGCACGGGGTCCGGGGTCCGACTCCGTCCGTTTTCCCGATGGTTTATGAGAAGATACGAAGCGCCTGTAAGACCGGCCTGGAGCATACCGGGCAGCTTGGATCGGAGCTCTCGCAGACACGATTGCCGCAGTCCAGGCAGAAATGATTGTGCCCGCACGGGACCAGGGCGGCGGTGACCTCTTTGTCGCCGCATACCACGCATTCGCGTCGTCCGCCGCCCAACAGCGAATCCGTGGGCGATGTTGGGCTTGCCGACGCCGGTCGGGACGGCCTCGAGGGTAGCGCGACGCCTGGGAACGACCAGATCGAGGATGCAGACGCTGCCTGTGACTCGAACGACGGTGACTCGCCTAGACCCTCGTCCCTTTCCATGCCGCCACCCCAGATCGCTACGAGCTCGTTCAGTCCAGGTGCGCCGGAACTGCTGGACGAGCTGCTGCAACTTCCGCTGCTCGAGAACGCTCCGCTCGAACCATTCGACGCGTTCGAACCGGGTGGATCGAGACAGCCAAGGATCGAGCCCAAACCACCGTGGCACAACGCGCTGAGCAGCTCCGAGTCGTCGATCGTTGGTCCTGTACCGGTACGGAGGGCGATATGCGCCTCGATCTCGCGTCTCGCCGCTTCTACGCTCTCAGGTAGCCCGGTAACCTCGAACACCGGCTCCTTGTCGCGACTCGGCGTCACTATGTAGGTGTGCGTCTGATGCTGGATCCGCTTGATGGTTGCCCCCTTCGGACCTACCACCAGACCGACCACTCTGTACGGAACTCGTACCTGAATCGTCACGTGGCCGGGCACAGCAGCCGGCGGTCCAGGAGGCGCGCCGAGCAACGCGCCCAACGAGCTCTTGCGGGACGCGCGGATCTGCGAGAAATGCTCGGCGGCGGATAGGATCTCGCGTTTCGCACGAGCCACGTCCTCCTTCCGGCCTGTCACCACGAACACCGGCTCCTCGCCACGGACCGGAGTCTTGATGTACGTGTTCGTCTTCGCTCGGAGCGCCTTGATTTTGCAACCTGTAATCAAACGGAGGACATGTTTTAGATATATATGCGGGCTTCTCATCGTGCGTATAGAATATAAGTGAATGGGTTTGGTATTAGTTTGGATAAACATTCGAAGAGAACAAAGGCTCTCCTCGGCATGGACAAGGGATGGACCCCAACCGTCCCACTTAATATCGAAACCATTACATTGAAATTATTCTACTAATTACCATCAAGTTACTGCAGTCTTTACTCAACTGAGTAACACAGTATCACGTTCCCTGACAATAAAAAAATATCAATTGTTTAAACGATAGACTTCTGGCCCCAAAATATCAAAGATGTCTATTTCGCGCTAAATTAATACAAGTTTACAAATATACTTTCAATACAAATTATTTCTGAATTATATTACTAACAATAAACGCGGCGTATAAGAAAACCCTAGTGTAGCTAAGAAACACAATAGATCGATGTCACTACTCGCGGATACGATTGCATATCCGTGTTCACTGTACTCGCCAAATTAAGCACGTATACGTAGAAGGCGGCGAGAGAGCAGGGTGCAGGAAACTGGGAGGAAGGAGGTCCCGACCCGGTCTGGTCCTCGGTCTCGCAGACTCTCTGGCCTTGAGCCGGCGCAATGCTAGCAATGCAGGTGAACCACTCCTCTCCCTTTCCTTCTTTCACCCATCGGCTCCTTCTTCCTTCGTCTCTGTCCCGCGCGGCGCGTCCACCTTTCTCCTTCCTCCCCCTACCCCCCTCTCACCGGTATCCTTCGCGGTTTCATCCTTCTTCTCCCTTTCTCTCTTTCTCCAAGCTCCCTTTCATTCAGTCCACTCTCTCCTTCGAACGGCGAACTTCCAACGAACGCGCGCGACACACCGTGCGCCGGCTGTTGCCCCTGTTTCTCTTTCTCTCTCTCCCTTTCGCTCTGTCTCATCGTGTATCGCATACCATCGCCTTTACGTTTCGCCTCGCGGTCGATCCGCGCGCGTTTTCTACGCTCATTAGCGACTTTTTAATCGAGTCTATCGTACGGCGATTCCGGTCGTGCATCAACCGACGATTTGTATTCGTGGATAAACGGCGAGAGGTCTCTCTAATAAACGAGTAATCTCTAATAAATTGCAAAAGATAAACGCAAGGACATCTCGTCTCGCAGCAATACGATATTCATCATTTTTCCTAAATGATCCAAACAGTTCAGAGGACCGGTTAACATACCTACTGTTACTGTACTTATCCTAATACAAACCTAACATAATCGACTGAATCCCTAAATAACCTACACAAAACGAAGTCGTTCTTCAGGAACTACAATCGAATTCGAAGAACGAATCAACAAACTACGACCCTCCTCGGCTACGGAGAACCGATACCAGACAGTGCTATAGTAATAATTAAAGTGAACACAATGTACCGTGTAAAAATATCCCAGGGAGCGGTCTATCGACCGGTACATTCAAGCGTAGCAAGCAAACAGGACACCGAATGGCGCACGTAATCCCGTTTATTCGATCCGCAGTAAATTTTTGCGCGTCGCTAATGAAAGGAACGAGGGGAACGCGAGGTGTCCTTTCGGAGATACGAAGAGAGTCCTTGCGGCGGCGCAAGGACAATGTCACGGACGGCGTCCATGGGTTCTTCAGGGACGACGGTCGCCGCGGTCGCAGTAGTCTTGACATCGATACGCGGTGTTAGGTGCACGGACGAACACGCGGCGGCGATTACCGGGGCGTTTCACAAACGGCGAGAGGAAAAAGGACACCCGCTGTGTCGCACGCACCGCACTGCGGAGGTCGTCTCGGGGGCGCGAGCATAATTACAACCCGTAACGAGCTTCTTTTCCCCCGGTGGGCTTTCAATGAATTCAGGGAATTCCACGCGGAAAACGCGTTGCTCGAGGACGCGTGGGGGTGACACCTTTTACGCTACCAGATGCGTGAAACACACGACAAACGGTTTCGCAAATTCAGACACTATCCCCCTAATAGAGTTCTTTTTTACAACCCTTTAACGCCCAGACCACCCTTCTATTGTGATTTCAAAATTATGGGACCGATATATGGGGTGTTTCACCTAACGTGAGTAGCTTCAATATCTTGAATATTGTTTTTATTAGTGTGGAGTAATAGCTGAGATCAAGACCAATCCAATGACCTTCGGTACGAACAATCGATGAATGTAATTAGAGTAGATTTAAATAATAAAATAACCACGATAGAGGGATTAGTGCAAAAGTATATCGAAGTTGAAGAACCTAACCCAGACATGAAAATGCAACGTTCAGAATGTACAAAGAATTGGTCGTAAGAAATATTTTGTAACGAGGTGGACAAGAAGACCTCGAATGCAGAAGGGTAAATCCAGTCGTAGTTTCATCGATCACGCTTTATTTTCGGTACCCATTGTACCCAACCTTCTCCTGTCTCGTTTCTTCCGTCGAGCCGGTTTACCTTCGCCGATTATATTCATTCAGCGGTTACATACCTCGTGCAACCTCCCTCTTAAACTTTCCTCGACCCTGAATGCAACACGCTTCGGAGCAACGATTGATGCTGCGTGGACGATCGGCTCCTTCAAATACTCGACGAAACATGAAAATACGGAGCTATGATTCTAATGCAATCGTAATCACCACACGAGACCAAGGTAATTTTGAAGATTTCGTAGACAAGGAATAGTATACCGATAGTTTATTTGCGCTACACTTTTCCCCTGAAGTCTACACACCCGAAGACCATTGTAAATTCATAAGGCGTCGCCTTATATAACCGCAGAAAGCGTTAGCAGAGAACTACACCAGGCCGCCGATCCATTTCCTGAGACCGGCAATTTGTCACGAGATCAACGTTTCGAAGGGACGCGAAATCACGTAAGAACGATCGTTTTACTTTCGACGTCTCTAAATTCGCACGCATTACAGAAGGTAATTGAACTAATTACGTGCGGCCGACCGGGACACGGCCAATTAACAGCTGACCGATAGGACTGGTCCACCGATCCGTGTGCTCGCTCGTTTTTCCCGTCGTTCGCCTCCCCTCGCGGTAATTCAATTTATCGGGATTCCATCGTGAACACTATTTTCCATGGTTTCCGCGGGAGTAGGTACCTGGCTGCTCTCGCCGCCTAGCTTTACCCCCTAATTTTTATTCCCCGTCGATTTCTGCGTCCTTTCGTCGGTATTCCACGGCGGCACCTCCGCCCCGGAGGCATCCCAGAGCGCCGCGTGCGCGCGTATCCTTGGGCAAATTTATGCTTCTTCGGATTACGGGATAATAATGGTTACCCTTGGACGCCGTGGCGGAGCACTCGTCTTAACAATTTGCCAGCTAGAATTACGACCGATTTCCCCCCGTGGCGCTTTTATACGTCTGCCGGGCACAGTCATTGGCAGACGATATCGTTCTGTTGCCCACAGTTGGCTGCAAAAGTTCGCGCGTCGAAATCTTCGTCCTCTGTATCGGCTGATACGTGTTGCCCGGCCACGGTGAGCAGTTGGATCTCACTTGACGGAATATTCGACATTAACTTTTAAGACGAAATTCAGACAGGATGTTGAAAAAAAAAACTATTCGATATTTATATGGTACGTAGGATACACTGTACTGAGTAAAAAAGCCTTAGTAAACATAAGTCGAAAGGTTTCTGAGGTATAAACATTTTTGTATGTTAGCATTATGATTGACTTACCTACTACTGGCTTTTCGATATTTACAGAAGGTGTTCCACATGTCTTTCAATTTCCATACACGCTTGGCATCTGCTTACAGAGTCGCGAAATTTCTCGAAAATTCCACATCTCTGTCGAATTATTTGGCAAACATGGTGGATTCGGTTACGTCAGTCGTAAAAACGTATATTTTAAAACGTTCTTTTGATTGTCGATGAAATCTTGTGTCATGAAGTATGTATGGAAATTGAATGAGGACATTTAGAACGCGGTTTATAAGCACCGAGGTAAACGTCGCATACGATGATAGAAGCCAGCAAGTCAACCATGATGCTAACATACAATAATGTTTATATTTCAGAAACGGTTGAACTTTTCGATCTGTTTTTATTAAGGATTTTTAACTCGGTACAGTGTGTCCAATGTACCATATAAATGTTCAATGGTTTTTTTTAATAATCTTTATAAGTTCAATTAAACGAAAATCGTCACTTAGGGGTTGTTAAGCTAAGTACGCTATGAAATTGAAATTTTCTGATAAAAATTCGCGGATGTTTATAAGGAGCTTTTGCAGAAAATTAAATAGATCGGTTCGGTGAGGTTGAGGAAGCCATCGGCGTGCGTAGAATAATTGTACGATCGTGAAACGTTCGCTCGTTTGATGTGGGTCGTAACCTTGCCCAATTCTGGAGCGTTGGATGGAAATTGCGTGGTATTGGCGAGCACTCCGGATTTCAAGTGTTCGTTGATAGGGCAACATTGAATCCTTGAAGTCTGTATTTACGATGATGGCCAGAAGAACGAGAGCGGTCACGGTTCGAATTATTTTTAGCCTCGTTTCTTTTAAAAATGACGAAATGGTAACTGGCGTAAAATTTACTTCTTAGTATTGGTAACATCGCTGTGGTATACTATTTCCTTTACAATCGGCCTAACTTGATAGGTGCTCAATACCATTTCCTTCACTTTAGAGTAGCTGACCGTGACAGTTGAAACAAAAAAAGTAGAACTTCATTCATCCGAACGAAATGTTTGTGAATGCTGAGATACTAAACTTACCGTGCATCTAAGGCTCCGTGAATTTCTTTGACCGGACCATACGCTACATAGCTACAAGCAACCATTACTCGAACTATTTCAACTCCATTTACACGAACACTCCAGTTATACATATAAACCGACTTGGCCCAGTAGCCTCGACAAAGAGGCGTCCACTGCACTTTTAAAACCAACTTCTCCAGTCTCGTCTACTTTAATAGCTCCCTGAAGAACAGCAATCCCCATAACACTCGAAGTCAAGTGTCAAGGAAGATAGCTCCGCGAGGAAAGATTCTAAGACCGCAAGGAATACCCC